AGTTTCGTTTCCCATTAATTAGGTGCCTTCAAGTAGCATAATAATTTAGGAGAAATAGGCACTGTGGCTTTTACCTTCTTCGCCGTCCTCTTCTCCGGAGGAATCTGTGTCCTCTGCTTCATTCCCGAATCTAGTGGAGAAGGAGAAAGGCAAATTACTGCCAATTTTTCATGCGACCTCTTAACTAGAAATGCACCAAAGCGAACAAGCTAGAGAAGGAAAGTGCAACCATAAATATATTTTGCACCCGCTTCCCTTACTTACCTGTCATAGCCGTCGAGATATTTCAGGGATGATATCATATTAAATATTTCAGCTCTGTAGTCTTCTATCGTTGTTACTTCGCAGTTAAGTAAATCCAAACTTTTTAAATTTTGTAGTTTTGACTAGTGAGATAAAAAAATGTGTTAGCGGTAATAGAAAATTACCAACCAGCCAACTGCAAAATATAACAGCTTCATCTTTAATCTTAAGTCCGATAACATAGTTGATCGGCCCTGGATAGGATGCGACTCGCACACAAACGATAACTCAAACTTTGTACTCACCAACGGTTCTAAAGTTTCGAGATCTTTTATCCTGTTATTGCTAAGACTCAAATGTGCTAATTTCGGAGATCCCTGAAGAGACTGGAGGCCTGACATTATCCTGTTTTCGCCGAGTTCCAGCTGGGAAAAAACAGAGTTGAAAATATGAGAATCTTCAACAGCTTGTGAGGTGCAATGACCGTTCAGAATAGCCCTGCTAAATTGCACCCGCAACAAGCTCCTGATCTCCAAAAAAAAATCTCACTTACCCGAGTAAGATTTGGTAAATTGGGAAAATTTTTCAAATTTGTTAGCCCAACTTTGATCAAAGACAGCCTCTCCAAGTTGACAAATTCATCTGTTAGCCCAACGACGTTGGTAGAATAACAATTATCCAAGATTAGCTCGACAATCTGCAAAACAACAAAAGCACATGGAGAAGGGACGACTCAAAAAATTAGTCGATTTACTACGCTTTTCACTTGCTAATCGAACTAAAGGCTCCTAATTTCCCAAGAAGGAATCCTTAGCCCTCAAAAGACTACCGATTCTACCTCATCTGGCTTTCTTTTGCCACACTCTAAAGCGATCCGTTTTTCCATTCTGGTGTTGTTCGTTGTCGCTGGAGTCGCATTATCCATTGCACCTTCTACAGAATCGAACGAGTTGGTTTGCCTCGCGCCACAGTACAATTTCCCCAGAGGGGGTACAATAGATTGACGCTGCTAAGCTCCAGCGTAGTAGCGAATATTTTGAATCCATGCAAACTTGCTAACGAGAAACGCATCTTTGATCAGGTGTCAAATACTACGCTTTCCTATCCACGAGAGACTTGAAAGGAGTAAAAATGTATATTTTACGCATATTTAAACAAGTCATAGGGTAAAACAAATCTCATTGCCAGATTCACAGATGAAAATCAAAACAAGTAAAGCCTTGCACAAATTTACTAGAGGATTCTTGTAGGAAAATAATCTCACTTCTCTGAGTAAAAATGATTCTTAAGAGGAACTAGGATGGAAAACAAAGATGGGAAATCCTGTAAGACGAGGCTCTTCTCATTTGAAACATAACAGGCGACATAATATGCGTTAGAACTCTCACATATCATATTCTCCCAACTTACCCTTTTACGTCACCATTCCGCCAAATGTCAAGTCATGTGACTTGCGAAGCCATCTTGGATGCCTGGGAGGGGAAAATTTACAATATTTTGGTCTACAGTTCTTGTAGAAAACGAAAAACTGAAAAATTCGATCGCAGAAATAGGAAAAAATACACACCAGGCCCACGACCGAAAAATATCTGGCAGAGAACCGGAAAAACTAACAGAATTCCACCCTCGCCATTGTTTTCCTTCGATGCAAGCCCTTGCGACACGCAATTTCAGACTTTGGCCACCATCCTCCAATTAAGTTGTAGCAAGGCATTTCGCTCTAATGGAGAAATGTTTCTGTGTGTTCAAACTGTTGACTATTAGATTTCTGAGGCGTAATCCAGCCTCTGGGTGTGTCTAGGGAATTTACCTTCGACAATGTCCGTTCGATTTCTTAAAGCCCATCCAGGCGCTAGGAGTTTTAGCGAACATAGCCGCAATTCAGAGAACCCCCTCCAATGATATCCCATAATTTCGCATCTCTCCGAGGCGAATCTTGACCGTCGCGCCCGTCGAAAACATTTTCTTAGGCTCCAGAAAAGCACGTTTCTCGATCAGGTTTGCCCACCTGATACGCTACAACAATGACTGTCCCTTCCAGTCAGTAAAATAAAACACCGGCGGCTGTGAAGTTGAAATAGTGTCAACATTACGCAAGACCGCTAACGTTGTACATCTACGGAGAGTAAGGCATGTTTTAAGTACATTATTTTACAGAAAATTTTATCAGCGTTGAGTATGGAAACGAGGCTCTGCGGCGGATGAAGTTCATATGTTGGTACTTATTAGTTCTTAGCATGGGCGGTCGTCAGAAGGGAGTACTTCTGATATCAGAAACGAGGACTGGTTATTTTCGATCCGATTTTAGAAACAAGCTCCTTTACCTTCAATTTTGGTGGGGAAGAGACAAATTTCTAATCATATAAAAACCGACAATTAAACAATGGCGTTAGTTTGAGCCAAAAAAATAAGCTATATCCAGCTTTACAACCTTTCAGTGCCAAAATAAGCCATGGGCCGGTTCCAGTACATTTCGTTTTTCTTTGAACTCTTTTCAGGTCTGGCCTTTATCCTGCCTTCTCTAATTCTCTAGCTTTATATATTTTTTTTTCTCTCCAACAAATTTGACCACGCCAAAAGGAACCAGACACAGGCGTACGCTGACAGGAACTTCCGCCCCCCTGTGATAAGAGGAGTAAAAGGCAGTTCAAGAAAACCGGTGTGCATTGAAATCTAGCTAGCAAAGGGTAAAAGAATTTTAAAAAGCCCATTAAGGAAAATTACCGTGTATTTGAGTCAGTGGGGTTTTAAAAATGAGACAAGTTCGAAGGACGAAAAAGTTTGAAGTTTCAATCTAATATTCTTAACATCTTAAAGGCGGGCAGGAAATGGATTCTGTTGTAGTTTCCCTACATAACAAAGCAAAACTTTGGAAAAAAAAGAAAGAAAACTTCCAAAATCCATGGAAAGGTTGCAGAATTATTTAACGTGGTCGACTATCTGGGCAAAAAGGCGCTTTAAACAGTCGCTAAGCTGCATAAATGATTTACACGGATGGAATCTAATCAATTGTCATGAGTAACGTTAATCTTTACTTTTTGGTAAATATAGTTCTTCCGTTGGTAGCCTCAGAGGCGCTCTGACAGTGGGTTACTAAGGGACCCCTAGGGGATGAGGATTTCTTGCGAAATCTCATAGTTTTCTTGGGAAATGGGGGAGGGGAGGGAGAGAACTATCGTCACCAACAGAGTATAAAAAGGGACCATAGGAAACTGATTTCCAGTTCATTGCAAGAGAAGGGGATGATAAGAGTATTACAGTGCCTTATGGCACATATCCTTAACAAATGTGCCGTTCTTTTCGATCTGGTTGGTGCAAATGAACATAGCATCTAGGCCCAAGGAGCAGGCGCAGTGATTAGAATGATTGCCTCATATGTAACCCAGGGCACTTTATATATGTATTGTAAAACCTGTGAGAATTTTCCATTAAAAGGAGAAGAATTATATTTTCCTTAAACAAAGTAAAATAAGGCGTCCATGACTTTAAGGCCTTCTTAGCAAAAGCGCAAAAAAAAAACTTTTTGCAGAACATTGTTCAGTGGAAGATGTTGCATTTGATTTCCATCTGAAATACCTGCGTTTTCGCAGAAATAATAAGTGCCCTCAACTTTTACTTCTTGACTGGGTGTAAGATGAGGCGATTACACAGAAGCTAGGTAAATTTGATATTGAACAAGGAGAAATATCCAGGCAAGAGAGAACTTGTGGTCGACAGAAAGGCAACTGGCGGCACTCGCTGAAGTCAGAGTCTGCTCATAAACCCACATAAGTTGAGGCACCGCACATTTCGAAAAACCAAGACAACTAGTGGTTAGTAAGTGAAATTTTCCCACCCCAAAATTAAAAGGCGAAATTGTTTTGGAAAAATAATCACATACGAAACCTACTACAACTTGAAACTATGCCACTCATGATTCCACCAAGTTTCGCCATCATAGCAAGCTTCAGAGCTAAAAGACGTGCTCATTAATTCCATTTTATGTTTAAGTGATGCGGAATGTGGATTTAATTGGATAAAAAGTAGTAACTATAGACCGACAAAGTAAATTTAGCACAGCCACGTGACCGGGTGCAACTGACCTCGTGGAAAAGGGACTAAGCCAAAGGAGTTACTGTTCAACCTGCACCAGACTGAGGGAAAGTTTTTCACTAGCTAAGATAGCGTAAGCGCTGACTCGGATCGACGTCTAGGAGGGGGGCAGGGTGCTTTCGCTAACTAAAGGTCGTTCCAAGCTAGACGTCTCTCGGTCAAAAGTGGCTCCTGGCTTGAGAGCAAGCCCTTATCATTGGTGCCACGGCACACGCGATTCTACGACACAAGCGTTAGAGGCGACAAGAGGCCCGGCCCGGCCTACGCCAACTTTCTCGCGGGCAAAGATACGCTTGTGCCTCACCGCAAAGAACGAGTGCCTGTTTGCAGGCTGAAGAATTTGAGATGAGCTTGCCTTTTGGTCGAGGGTAAAAAATTCTTCAAAACTTAGAGGAAATGCTTCACGAATTTATTTCTGATCCGCGTTGACGCGAGTCTCTAGGCCCTGTTTTCGTCCCACGAACAACGCGTTTGTGCCCATAGCCTGTGTAATCGAAACCCACAGCTACCTCAAAACACAATGACCAAGCTGTTAAGAGTGATATTCATGTGATATCTTAGGAGTTTCGCAAACAAACCTTTGCGAACAGAACGAACATCTTCGCACTAACTAACAAATAAAGTAAGGAAATAGAAACAGCCAGACAACACGTTTTTCCCATTCTTTTTTTTGGTCATTTTGCTATGTTTTAATCTTTCTGCTGCAGAAAAATTTACAATAAAAAGTCTGTCAGCCTAGATGAGTAGTGACTTCACTGGCCCTTAAAAACAAGCACTTGTGGTCGTTGATCACAACGGAAAAGAAATGAACAGTTTATAAAAGTACTGCAATTACATACATACATACATGAATACATACAGCAATTGACTACTATAAGTACAAGGGCTGTTACCACAGGGATCCAGCTAAGACAAATCAAGATATTTTTGTTGCTAGATGCAATGCTGACATAATCATGAACGAATTAAAAATTTTATTGGAATTGTCTGCCAAATAATTTGGCTCCATAACAATAATAATTTATATCTTTTCTATTTTTCTAATAGTTCAAGAACGGTCAGCCACAATGGAAAATAATCGAAAATGAACGCAACAGAAAGACGCGTGAAAGATGTCTTAAGTCAACGTTAATTGTTTAGAAAATAAAAATCTAAAAAGTTAAGGTGTTCTCTCTGATGTTTCCATGGCAACCCACCATGTCTACTCCCAGGGGCACTGTGACCAATAACAGCAATTGTACAACCCTGATGTCATTTCTGCCTTCAACTCTCGAATTAGCTGGTCAATCAAACCCATCTTATTGCCAAACAGTTCCACTAACTACGTATACATCAACAGCTACAAGTTGCTAATCTAATTGTAACTTCACCACTCCTTGTCGCGAAAACTACTTAGCCTTCACCATAGATCTAAAGTATTCCTGCAAAATACTACAATTCACAACAAAAAAAACCTGCCTTTCCTATTTCAACTACTACTCCTACAATAGGGAACTGTAACAATGAATAAAAATCAAAGATACTTTAATTTTTCTGGGTAAAGCAACTCTAAGTTGGCAATAAGAAGTGTTTTTCTTTTACTGATGGAAAAACAGACGTTACCAAGGTCAAGATAGTTAGAGTTTGATTTAATCCTCTTCATACAATCAAAAAGTCAAGTCCAAAAGAAGATTTTTACTTGTTGGCAACTTACTGACTGCTTTTCCTCTTGATTTACATCTGAAGATATCATAATTAGCAATAATACCAGGAGAAGCAACTCAAGGTTTAACAAAAGTTGTTTACTAGATGTTGATTATCTCTCTAAGGGTCTATATGTAGTTTTCATTGAGGAAATTTTATTACATACCTACTGTAGAAATTTTTCCTTGTTTTTTAGCGACTTTAGTAGTTTTTCTTAAACTATTCATTTAGAATACTACTTTCACCATTATGAACTTTACATGGCTACTTTAGGTTAATAAGTTTGTCTCCTCTCTAACTAAGGAGTACTTTATACTAATTCTTCACACAGGGATGCAGCCAAACCATGTAATTAGTAATTTAATTTCTTGCTTCTACTTTTAAAATGATGAGACACAATTACTTTTCTATTAAGCCTTGCAGTTCATTGGTAAAAATAATGATACTAAATGCCCCAGGACCACAAAGGAAAGAAGGTTGTAGAGTCCATGATGAGATGACAAATCCCAAGACACCTTATCAATAATGAAAAACTAACCTCCTCAGCAATTCAGTTGAAAGAATCATAAAGTGACAAAAGAGAGGCAAAAGAGTTCAAGAAATCCAGGCTGAAGCCAGCTTACCCAGAAAGCAAATACACAAGAAGGGTGTTCAATATGATGAAGATTAGCAGTTAAATTATGGATAGCATATACACTTTGTTTATGGCCAATTGAAGGCAAGTAATTCATACTTTTCTCACCAAAATCTCTGGAAGTGAACATTGTAAATATCTTTTCAAAAGCTTGCAAAAGAAAGACTAGTAAAAGAAAACAGTTTATTTTTCCTTTAGGCTAACAATACAAAATTCTTTTGCAGGATGGAACAAACAAGAAATTGTCCCCACTCTTACGAAAAACAACATAACTGTTGATCCAAGAGGCAAAACTAGGGAGAGGGAGGTGGAAGTAGCCTTGGTGAAAACTTAACAGCCAAACTAATGTTTCTTTTTCCTTATTCAAGACACTTTCTAGCTATATATCTAACACTTTGGAAAATATTTCCAGTTACTTAACTACCTTCAAATTACACAATGCTCAACTGTGTTGAAATATACTGGAAACAATTCACAGTGCTGTACTTGTCTTCACAGCTTGAATCCTCGCTATATTCTCACACAGAAACTTTTGTTTTAGAGTATTTTGTACACAAAAGCACTTCACTTAGAATCAGCTGAAGACAAGTAATCTTAAATAAAGGAATCTCTATTCAACCATTTTGTGATTTTCTACAGTTTTCATTCCCAAGTTGAATCTCTCAAAGCCTACTTGCCTTCTTATCTTTAATTCAGATTATAAGATCTCTTACCAACTCTATTCAAACTAGATTATACTCTTTTAGGTTTAACTGCAGTATTGTATCCTTTACAGCCGCAAATACAAACCGGATATTTTCTGTATCTGTGGCACATGTGAAGTGGGAGTATATTATCTTATCTGAATCTGGATTCAGGTCCACAAACATTTTAAGAATGAACTCACGTGCTGCCTGTGCATCACACTGGGGTCCTGTACAAAACAAAAGTTATTACAAAGATTAACAAAGATAAACACAGATACATCGGAAAAAGACTTCTTAAATTCATAAAATAATAAGTTTATCAGTAAAAACCACCAAAGTGGTAAGAGTACCCTGGATTAAAAAATGTTTCCTCTACTGAAAAATTTTCAAGCCAGTTTTACTTTGATGCACACTCTTTCACATTACAAGTCCAAAATTACATTGTATGTTAATCAAACTGGTTTGAAAAATATTGAACCACCAAAAACTCTCAACCAAACAAATATACTTGAAAGGTATGACTTTGGCTTGAAATAGAGAAGATTAACCAAATTGAACAGGGAACAGAAACCTGAAGACATAACTGGGACAACAAAGATCTAGAATGCTTCAAAATTTCACACCAAGATTGAAAAAGGTATTACTGGTGAAACCCACCATAGCACTCTCATTGATTCTGGTACCCATCTGTACTCAGTTGCTTGGAAACAGGAAAACACTTGAAGAAGTATAATGACTTAGACCTTTGTAATGCTACACCCTAGACTGCTGGAGTCCATGATGAACCCTATAAAATCTATATCAGTTGGCCTTTTGGGTCACCCACTTCAAACAATGATGACAACATAATTCAGGGGCATTAATTTCAATATTGCTTTTAATCATGTGCATGTACAAGCCCATTTGTTTATGCTCAGCAGGAGTCTCCTTTCTTTTTACACTTCCATTTCTGTCACTGGCATACAACAACCCTACAAGAAAGTAAAGCTAAATGACAAATAAAGGAACAGCTTACATACCATCAAATTCAGGGAAATATTCCACCAAATGCGAAAACATAATTTTCTCTTCCAACAAATCCTTCTTGTTTAAAAATAATATGATGGAAGAGTTCTGAAACCATGGGTATGTGATAATAGTACGAAATAACGCTTTGCTTTCCTCCATGCGATTCTGAAAAATTAAAAGAACAAGGTTATTGATTTTAAAAACATTTGAGCACTTTTCAAAATATTGATAAACAGAAGGAACAATATGATACTCCCTTTTAATGAAAAATAATGCAGTTCTGGTCAGTTGAAAATTAGAACAAAGTTTCTCAGTTGACTTCTTGTCCATCAATGTGATATGTGCACAATTCCTTGAGCACAAAGTTTAGGGATGTATGAATTGGAAATTTAAGCTGCAAATCTAGTCACTGAATATTTTTTGCCACCTTGGCAGCCAACATGATCACAGCTTGGAGCATTGATGAAGAGAATTTTCCTTATAAGACTGTTACTGTGCTCACTGTGGTTTACAAGTGAAATTTTGTGGGAAATTCAGAGGTCAAGTAAAAAAATTTCCCTAAATCATCACTAATAAATAAATAGAGAACAAGACATTTCTAGCTGACATGTAGCACCATGAAAACTGAATGATCCATTAAGAAATCAATAGCCCAAACTGATGGAAAATTAACATCATCTGGAATCTGTTGCCTTCAAGGTACAAAGACTTTTTAGTAAGATGAACCAAACTAGAGTAATATCAAGTGAATATCACAAATGCAATCTGAAAAATATTGCAGCTTTGATAGCCCATTAGACTGTATAATTGTCTCAGTTATGTTTGTATTGCAACTCTTGACGTTATCAAAGCATGATGCACAGCACCCATTACTACCTCTGCACAAAAGGCAGAGACCAAAGAAGATAACACTACCTCATTGGCTGATTCTACAAGGACTTGGTCATATTCACTGAGAGCCACAAGAAACATAATTGATGTCACATTCTCAAAGCAGTGAATCCACTTCCTTCTCTCGGACCGCTGACCTCCAACATCAACCATTCTATAAAAATAAGAATAAGTAACTTTTGAGTTTAACAATCTTAATCATGAACTAGCTCTCAGACTGCATTCAATCTTCTGGTGCATTTGACCATAAATAGTCCAAATTTTGCATGTGCATGTAACTGAAAGAAAACATTTTCCTCAGAGTTTCCATGATGGGCAGATCACATCTACTGAGAAATGTCTGCAAGGAAAGTTTTGATTTAAATTATGTGACCATGTGCACCACTGTTTTTCATAGTGTCGTGGAAAGAACTGAAAATATTATATCTTCGGATCTGTATAATTTGCTAGTTGTGCAAATATCGCACTACAAAGATAATATGAAACAAACAAAAAGTATCACCAGGAAACATCAGGTCAAAATTGGGTCAAGATCAGAATGCTATTGTCACACTCACTCACTCATCTCGACTACATATGTGGCTTCACCTACTAAAGGAGGCAGTAGCCACAAAAACTAATTTTAGATTCATCCAATCAACAATCAAAAATTACACTTTCACCCAGTTGCTTGAAAGAAATTCCCACTAGCTCACATATTTTCTTTTGCAAGCTCCATAGATGTCTGAAAGACAACCATAGCTTTGAAATTTCTTTAAAAGGGTTGAAGTTGCAGTGATACAAAAAGAAACAGCCCAAACTGCTTTCTCATTTTTACTATGAATTGATAGAATGATGTAATAAAAAACAACAATGATTTTTCACACATGACAGTCAAGACCTCAGGGGGGGTCATAACTATCAAACAGACACAAAATTTAAAAAGGGAACAAACCACTACAGCCAATTGTGATTAAAAAATGAAATTAGAGAGAATACATCTGGTGTTAACATTGATAGTCTATAACCAAACAGAACTGTGAATAACAACAACAACAACAAAATAAGGGAGGCAAGAGGAGGGACAACAGAAAAAAATCACACCACTCAGATCAAGATCCACATCCACTACATATCACTCATAAAAACACATTGTGACAAACATCTTTCAGGCCCGGCCCTCTGATGCAATGTTCTCCTGTAGTACCTCTCATTTCATTTTAAAATCACTTGGAATTTTCTTGAAAATTCAATGGGTAAAAGGAATTGCTCTTCTGATTTGTTAATTTTTTTTTCTATTGTGCTAAACATGAGGGAGAACACAGATGACACCCAAAACAATGCCCGAAAATAAATAAAGAAAACATCTGTCCGACAAGAAAAAGGTGAAGCAACCTGCAAAGGGTGCAGGAGAGAGTCATCATCAAAGCTGACTCCTCAAAAGTGCCTCAAAGAAAATCATTGCAATATCATCCATCAACAAAACCAAAGAGATTTTTCACACAGCTCCAAACTCTTTCTTCTTGCTGGAGACAGTTATCTTCTTGGCAAAAATTAAAAATTTCAAAAAGAAGATTGAAAGAAGAAAGAAAGAAATAAAATCACAACAGTGGCAAATTGCAAAAGTAGACCAAACCACTATTTCAAAGAGCTCTCAAGTCTTTCCTATTTCACATATCAATTAAATTCTTAGGAAAGACTTTTGACTTCAAAAGACAGTTTGAAAAGTTGAATACTTGGAGAAATTGACATCATACACCCAGACCAACAACAACAAAAAGCTTGTTGGGGTTAGATACCCTATTATGTGATTCAATATCCTGTTCCTACAGAAAGATCACTGGATGCAAACTTTGCTGATTTAATCAATGGTAACTCTACTAAATAGAGAAAAAACGTTTTGCAAGTTTGTAAAGTAATCTTATTTAAGTTCAATTTAGGTATTAATGATTTCTCCACAAACATTGCAAAAAATTTAACTGTCTCCAGAATAATTCAGATGAGGCAAATGTCATGACTGTTCATTTCTTAACATAAACTAAACCAAGCTTAAGTTTTAAAAAAATTTTCCAGTTTTGAACTAGTTTTCCACAAAATTGTATTCTTGACCACAACAACAGCAGTTTACAGTGAAATCACATGACAAAACCACACCAAAATTTGCAAATCAAATACAACACAGCATTTGCAAGAAACAGCTCGTCTGCTTGAATTATAAATGGAATTCTTTACATACTCAACATTGCAAGAATCAAAGAGTTTATTCAGATAAAGGTTACGGGGGTATTTGAATACATTGTTTCCAAGGAAGAGCTTGCTCAACATATACATCAAGTCAAAATGCAGAGCCACTGTGTACACAAGCAAAGTGAGTTATTGCAAAATTCTACATCCATTGCTACAGGCCAAGTCATAAGTAAACAAAGTGATACAACTGAAATAGTTTGCACAATCTTACTACAGACCAGCCCATTACCAATGCAAAATATTCTTTGCCTTAACTAAACGTTTTCATTTAATCTTTATGCAGATTCAAGACCCAGAAATGTAAGAGAAAAGCAGGCAACCACATTAACATCCTGTGTGGGGGAAATTTCCTGTTCATTTAAGGCGAATTTGCTGGAGAAAAATGAAGGTTCCTTACAAGGAACAAGCCATAAATTAAAATCCGAATAAAGATTAACGGCAATGACACCTTCTAGGCCACAACAGGAACATAAAGGCTGGCTACCGTTGCTTAGAAATCAAATAACACTCTTAATAGTTGAAAGGAAAATTAAGCTCACCTAAAAATTATCGTTTCGAGATCAAACGGGTATTCAATGATACCAGAGGTAGGAGCACGAGCCCGCAGAACGTCTTGTTCTGTCGGAAGGTAATCGGGCCTGGCAAGTCGATCTAAGTCCGTTAGATAACTGAAAGAACAGAGAATAGAATGCAGTAAGAATTAGAGCATATGCTAATAAAATGCACAAGAACGTAAGTCAACTTTGCTGAACGAAGAAGCGACAAAACCGCTAACATGAAAAGACACCGATGAAACATCAAGTCAATTCAGCGTTTTTCGACGCAATAAAAAGACAGAAACTTTCAAATCGAATTTCTTTGATTGAGGGGTCAAATGGCAGCTTCTGTGGACTAGGTGAATAAAATCGCAGATTCAAGCGTTGTAAATCTGCTACATCGTTGCTCGTCATTAAGCCAACAGACAATTTAGTGCAGAAATTGACAAGCGATCTTTATGCGGACGAATATATCACAAATGATGCACCCAACATTGAATCCAAAATGTACCTGAATACTCTGATGTTTCAAAATCAAAGCTATCAGATGAAAGGGCCAGAGCATTCGGACAGCAGTAGTTAATGTTCCGAAACAAAGACCTTGTAGGGGATAATCCAGATGGAATCGGAGAAAATACGAATCTGGCGTGAATATGCCAGCTATGTGTAACAGAACTAAAAATTTATGCAACAATCGTTTAATCGAACTAAAAGTGTGACTGTTCTTGGGCAAAACTGACCATTTCACTTCAAAAACGAAACACCAACATATTCCAAATGACATGCACACAGTGACTTACTATTTCGCAGAGTCGCTAAGTTGGTACTCTCTTCTTCTGTCATAACATTCTTGCATGCCTTGATCGCTCCAGAGAGATCTGGTAGCTATGTAATAGTCGTGTTCGAAGGTAGTAACATTTTTGGGGTCAACCTCTCGCATGGTCTTTGCATGCTCCTGAATAAAAATCGGTGTAAAATGTATAAACATCAAAACAAAAGTCGCACAAAAAAATCAAGTCCATCAATTTCCATTCGCCGGGGAGGCGTTTTCAGAGCGGGTAACTTCTGAAGTAATTGAGCAAAAACACAGTATATGTAATAAACAAGGTCATAAAGTGGTCTAAAATGTAATTCATACCGAATTTGCTGGATTTCTGTACGCTATTTTCAAGGATTCCATCGCTAACGTTAAAGACTGTATGGCAGTTATAACATTCTGATATACCAAAGCCACATAGCCCAGTTTATCTTCATCACTGTATCCCTGCCCGTGAATAATTCTCATCTGCTTTATGAAGGTACTTTTGCCTGATTCTCCAGTTCCTGTGAAAAGAACACATCCCACGTTCAGAAATCTCACTAAGAAAAACATCCCAAACCCACACTTCACCACGGAAACACAATCGCAACCGTGATGAGTGCCTAGATCGATATGGACTCGGAATTGATGCTCCAAAATAAAGCCTTTACACTTTCTTATTCTGTATGCAGGATGAAAAGAAGGTCTTAATTTATTTAGTAGCAGTCAGGATTAAATTTAAGCATTTATACCAAATATGAGAGTGCGCTAACAAAACATGGAGTCGGTTAAAAAAGTCTGGAACAATCGGCCGCTGGATCCTCGTCGATTACTTCACATCTCGCTTAGCCAGCGGAGCAATACTTGGATCGCGTATGTAAAAGTATATCTATACAAGTATATTTAGCATGCGTATGTATATAAATTTCTATATAAATGTATATGTTTTCTATATATATTTTTATCTGTATTTTATCGAGCGAACATTTCCTTGCGACCAGAGTCGAGCAACACAGCGCGGCTGTTCATGCAGATTTTAGGCGGAACACGACCGCTAACTAGAAAAACATATTAAATACTTACCGAGTAAGAGTAGTTTCAGTTCTCTTCTTTGATTCTTTTTATCCTGCCTTAGTTGTTTTTCGATCTCGGCGTTGATTCGCCTGATCTCCTTCTGCTCTTCACTCATACAGCACGTCATCTTGAAAGAACAAATTGCCTTCGATCGTCACAACCTAAGCCAGCGATGGCGTCAAAAGGAACTATAGTTGTCCTTTTCACTACTCGAGCCCCGAATGGAGCTACGAGTCCACTGAAACTACCGAATTTATTCTTCCAAAATGGTGAACCACTCAGTCTTCTAGGGCGTAGGCGAGCTTCGAAAGTTTTTCCCAGCAATCATTGAAAAACGTCCACAAGTGTAACCAATCCAAATAAGGCCAAGGCCTCCATATTTGGAAGGCAATTTTCCTCGCCCCAGACAAAAAGTACCGCATTTTTCCACAAGCTAGCAACGCCTGGCGATATTTGATGCCTTTTTCTTCCGCCATTTTGTCTCTGAAAAATGTCTTTATTTTTTTTCGCGTTGATGTTGGAGAATTGTCTCTAAGAGAGCGATTGGGATGATACTTTAAACTGTTTAATTCATCTCGGCAAGGAGAATGAAAAACAATGCCACGAATAGAAGAGGAACGAACGCAGGAAGGGGTACGACCATTGTATATTTGCTCCTGTTAGATTTTACTCGTTTTTCGATGGATTCTACTTTCTTTGAATATTTTATTTATTCGAGAATCGTCCTTTTTATGGATGTGAACACTGAGATACAAATGTTGAGTAACTTGTTTACAAGCAGCACAGTTCCACTTGTAATCTACAACTAATTTACATAAAATCTCTTTAAGGCTGAGAAAATATTTGTTCCTTTTTTACTGCGTTCAAAATATTTTTGCTAATCAATCATTTCAACATACCCAATGATCATACTGTGAAATTGGCCATGGACTTAATAATCTTGTTTTACTTAAATGTTCTGTCAAGATCACAAAGCTTATGGTGTATTTTGTGAAAGAAGTAGATCTGCTGGGCATCAGCTTGATTTTCTTCATGTTGTGGAAGAACCACACTAGGATCAACAGTATCAAATCATGTCTGTAAGTCCAGGTTGATTTAAAAGATGTTAGAGGACAAGGTTAAAAATGATACCTACAAGAACCTAGAGGTCAGAAGGCAAAAGTTGAAGGTTCTCCATTGAATGAAGGGCAAAAAATCAAATGTGATTTTTGTTTTGATGAGACAAACACCATTACTCTGGCAAATTAAAACTGCTTATTATCCAAAGTTAGACGGAACAAACCAGTACCTACTTTATTGGCCACTGTGAGTTGAGTATGTTGTTGGTTCTTGTCCTCGCTCTGAGAATTTTTTGTGGAGTTCTTCAGTTTTCTTCCTTTTGCAAAAACTAACTTTCCAAATTACAATTCACCCTAAAGGAGTGAACTGAAAAGTGGCACCTCATAGAAAGTCCAGCACTGATTTCTCATTATCATTTTTATTATTAGATACACTGAGGTCCTCTTCACACTCAATTTTTACTACAAGTGAATTTCTAATTGGCAGCCAGTGCTTGGCAGCAGTGAAGAGAATATTATGTGCAATTGTGAGGGGGTGCAAGAAACAGGATTATGAAGAACAAGGGAATTGATCAGAGGGTTCAATGATTTAAAGGCATTATAATTTTTTGCTTCGATTTCAGATAAGTCGAATAGTTTTAAATCTAAAATATTAGAATTAGGGGAAGGAAAGTATCCACAACAACTTTGACAGTATGATCTGTGCAATTAGATATTAATGCAATGAATTTGGATTAGGTTAGAAAAAATTGAGAGACTGCTTACCTTACAGAACTTGCTACTGGCTCTGCTAGGTATTCTGACATAAAAACAAATCAAAACAAATAGAAACAATCAGGATTCATTTCAAAGAATGTTAGTTGTTATGGTGGATTGTGTTTCTTTTTCAAAGAACTTGCATGCCCAAATGGATTTGATGGCTCCAGTGAGAAATTTGTTCACAATCTTTTTGTTCATCTGAAACAACAAAATGTCTCAAAATGGTCCTTTCAGCGGAATGTGCATAATTTTGTTGATGTCTGGGTGAAATTGAGACTCACCCAAAATTTTATTTTTCAGAGGACTAATCTACTGGATGTAATTTTTTAAAATATAATGATAAAAAGATATCAGATTTTTGAGAAAAGAAAAGCTTACAAATGGCAACAACTTTCCACTTAAAAGTATTATTTAAGGTTACATTAACATTAGAGCTCATTGATAACAAGTAATAAAGTGGCTCTTTAATTAAAACACTTCATTTATGAATTGGTTCTTATAAACTGCCTTGGAAATTTTTTCTCAGGCTAGTTAAAATAACTTTCAGGCTAGTACATGATTACATTATAATTTTAATAATTCAAAAACCATTTACGTTAGTCATATCTATTTTTTGTTATTTTGTGTTACAAGTTCATCAGTTACAACTTAATTGTATACACTTAATAAATGGACTTGGTTGTGTTTGGTCATTTGGCAATTGAATTAATTAAGGTAATTCAATTACAATGCTTATCAATAAGTTGTATGAAAAGTTCTGTGAAGCTTAGAAAACTGTGAACACCAGAAATTAAGGCCCAAAATAATTTCTCACCTGGTACCTGTCATGTTGTCCGGTCAATCCTATTTTTGCTCAGGCACAATCCATTTTTAGCCAGACAAGTATCCATTACATTATATCTCATAAAACTCCCCCCCCCCTCCCCCAGCTTAGAGAACAAGTATATATACTGGAAGTACCACTCTTTTATAGTACATGCAATCTCAAATTTAATACAATAAAAGTGATACAGCTGTATTTCAGACCTAAGCTTAGTTTGTAATTGAGTTCTTCTCTGCACACATAAAAAAGACAGACAACATGTCTGACCATCCAAGGAGTTGGCCAGACATAAACCTATCTTTGACCAGACATTGACCATTGACTGATCATCATTTTGAGTCATGACAAGTATTGGTGGAGTGTTGATTTTTTTAGGAAAAAAAGCAAATCATAAAACTAAACCACAAATGGCAACAATGATTAGCTTGTAAGTTTGAGGTTTGCTTGCTCATCCTAAATTTTATATTGATTGGTAAGTACACAATTGACTTGCCACAATCAGTTAAAAGTGTTCATGGCCTTTTGATTTTCACAATAAAAAGCTTTTCAATAAGCTGTATGCACAACTGAGTAAATGCAAACTATTGAAAAGTACTCAGCAATTGTCTTGAAAGCATGAAATCCATGTTTGCTACATGGGAGTATAAGACTGGGTGAGTATTGCTGACCCAATTTCCTCTATTTTCATGTCAGTTACTAACAAATGTGAAAGACATAGACAAACCAAAGAAGAGATGGAGAGCAGTTTATGAGATTTACTGTTCTTACTGCCAAGGCTCTATATTGGAGAGACTGGCGAAAACCTCACAACTAGACTGACTGGACACAAGCGGATGACAAGGAAAGGTGATTTCAACTTTCTGACAGCATTGACTTATGAACCACACTATTGACTGGGACTATGCACAATGCCTTACCTACAGCACTAACTACTTTTAATGACTGATTCTGGAAAGCTGATTCACTAACTTAGAACAGACTCACCTAAACAGGTGTCAACTACTACCAGCACCATACAACCTGTTTATTCACAATGTTAACATTACAAACGAACCAAATGGACAACCTAACTTTATACCATGCGATTGAAACCAACCAATCATGACCAACTTACAGCACTTGAGTCTTACAGCCAACAAGATAACAGCAAAACTGACCAATCAGTTTATACAAACCAGATCTAGAACATTTGTCCGACAACAATTATTCACATGACTCTGATGATGACATCGGCTCAGGTTGTCAAAATTTCAGACACCATTACCAACAGCAGTCCTTCTCAGGACTACACTCACCTAGACAACCAGACTACACTATCACACTAATTATTCTTGACAATTCCCTCACCTTCCTATTGCCAAAAGTTTTACATTTTTGTCTAATTGTCCCATTACAAAATTGAATCCAATCGCAGATTCTAACTAATTCTAATTGTAAGTTAACTGTTAACTAAAAACTTGGCTTCAAATGTTATGGTAATGTGTTTCCATTAATTAAACCTCTTCAGCTTTATTCTTCTGTATATTTTTCTTTGTCTGGAAAAGGTCTGTGTTGTTTCAATCTGTTGTATGGTTTTGTATTCTTATTTTTTCAGTTTTAATCTGCCAATGTTTTTAAAAAATAAGATTCATCGGCCACATTGGCATTTAACAGACCCAGATGAACAAGAATGTGATACTTATTCTATATTTATTTTGTCTCTTTTCTCAATTTTGTCTTTCACAGGAGCTACTAAAGAAAAAGACAGCTTCACGAGAAGTGAAATAATATCAGGCAGTCCTTGAACCAAAAGTGCTTTGACTCTAGGAGGAAAATATCAAAAGTGGAGATCAGCAAGAATGAAAATGGCTGACTCTTAGATTTTCAACACACAAGAATACCTTAATTTTATAACTTTGTTCAGATGTATTTCTTTCTTTGGGTTAAAAAAATTTTGGTCACTGATATGATTGAGTACATTTTGTAGAATATGGTCTTTGGAGAGGGGGATAGTTCAAGGTCTTGGAAGATTCTTCCAGGATTCTTCCAAGAATCTTGCAAGATGTTTTAAAAATGTTGCCTTTAATGTCATTTTCCTAGAATAGTTCTCACCAGAATCTTACAAGAATCTTAAAAGATCTTGTCAGATTCTTGTAAGATAATACAAGTCCAAAGCAAGATCTTACAAAGATTCATACAAGAATCTTACAAGATCTTTGAAAATTCTTATAAGAATCTTTGCACAAGAATCTTACAAGATCTTTTAAGGTTCTTGTAAGAATCGTATTTAGGTAAGATATCAAAATGTTTTTAAGAAACTTAATAAAATTCTTTCTAAGTTCGAAATAAAGTTTCCACTTGGGAGCTTCCAAGGGAGACATAACACTTTGTCAGCTTACCTATCTGTCTAGCTCTCTTTGCCTAGCTTTCTGTATGGCTGTCTGTCTACCTGTCTGTGTGTCAACAGGCATACTTGCCTGCCTGCCTGCCTGCCTATCTGGCTTTTTGTCTACCCATCTGTCTGTCACTCTACCTGTCTGTTTGTCTGCCTGTTATCTGTCTACTTGTTTGTCCTTCTGCCTGTTTGTCTGTCTGCTTGTCTGTCCTTCTGCCTGTCTGTCCTTCTGTCTGTCTCTTTGTTTGTCTGTCTACCTGTCTGTCTCCCTGTTCATCAAGAGAATATCAACTGGTATTTTCTTGCTTTCTATCTGTCTGCCTGTTTGTCTGGCTGTTTGTTTGTCAGCCTGTCCGTCTTTCTACCTATATGTCTGTCTGCATGCCCATTAGTTAGTCTGCCTGCCTGACTGCATGTCTGTTTATCAGTTTATCTGCCTGCCAGTCAGGCTCTGCATCTTAACAGCATTTCAATGAAATATCTTTTAATCAAGTATTTATGCTGCGAGGAGCCTGGTGGGTTGAGTGTTAGCCTCCTTCACTTCCTTTCACAATCGACTAGCGTGTTTGGCAAATGAAATTTTAAGTGAAACCTCGAATCTAATTCTTTAGCTCTACTTTTCAACAAGATGATTTCTATGTGGCTCTCCTCTAGTTTATAATTTTAGCTCATTTTCGCTGACTTCAGTTCTACTGGAGTATAATTTTTTCTTAGTCCGATTGCATACGGTTTTAAGATGTTTTCCATTTTTTCGAGACTTTTCGCGTCAGTACACTTAAGTCCATTTAACATTCAGATTAAAAGGGTAAGTTTCGGAAGAAACTGTGGTGCTGCGTGGGTGGAGGAGTATAACAAGACAATTTAGTTTTATCAACTGAGATGATAACATTAATTTGCTACTGTAGAGCTGACGTTTGACCGTTAGCCCTTCATCAGATCGACAGTCACAACGTAGGGCTGACGCTCGAAACGTCAGAATACACACTCTTTACGGTGGCCAATTTACGTGATCAACTCAGTTTATAAAATCAAATTTTTGAAAAAACCTCATTTCACATACAGTTTGTTTCAAGTTTTATTACTATAAAGATTAGGTTTTTTGTCATTTCAGACGAGATATACACGAAACCCACTCCTGAGACATTATGTTACCAAGAGTCAGCTTCATGAAGGTCCCCTCCTTGTATAACCTGACCTAGATGAAAATGTTAAAAGTGCGAAGCCTCAACATCCGATTTTAGATATTTTGAATGAAACTACTATTCCGTGTAGAATTCTGAATTGAAACCCCGCAAAATTCGGCCATTAAGTGGGAGGTAAAGAAGCATTAGCAAAAAAGTAGAAAAGTACGGGAAATCAATTGTAAGGAATTATTTTAAATATCTATGACCAATGCCTGTTGTGAAGTTACGGTCTGCGTGGGTTTTTAAGAGTTCCTGTGTGGCCACAAAGGAAGATGAGTACCGAATAAAAAATTGTTTGTTACTTTTATTTTCCGTTACAAGTGGTACTTTGAGCACGTTTGTACCACGTCCTAGCTTGTAGTGAATAAAACTGGATCAGAATGCAAATAAAATCACGAAATCCTGTAAGTTTAACCCCAGGATCGAGTTTTTGGCCACTGAATCGCGGGAATGCGCAGCGACCGAAATCAGAAACCCACACTTATACCCTCTCTTTTCCCATTTTCGTTTTTTTTTTTAAACAACTCCCTTGACGCGTTACGAACTGTTTTGGGAGAGCTAAGAACAAAGAAGGACTTCTTCAGCAGCTTTAAAATTGCAGGCCTAAATTGTCGCTTGCTCAATGTGGCTCGAAGACCTTTGCACTAATACGATTTTCTCTGTTGTTCTCCCAAAAGCTGTTAGTGTTGTATCTTAAATGTATTTGTTGGTTGGAAATAAAAACATGATAAAATATATCCAAAGACTTGAGCGAGCTCGCATGCACTTTTAGTTAACGTTAATTTTCATCGCTCCATGCTATACTAACGCACAAATAACTGAGTAAACATTTTCACTATCAGGACGCAAGTAGTTTTTCGGTCTCTTTTTAAAAATTATCCTATCCACATGCAACGATTTTTAAAATTACCTTCGACAGAAAGGCTTGCACGCGATATCGAGCGAGTGTGGGTGGAAAATTAACGAGTTGTCACCCTTTGTAGTCCTACAATTTACCACAATAAACTGAGGTTAGAGATACGAAGAGTAACCATGTGATATTTAATTTGCTTTTGCCCAATGTACCTCGCACCTTTTCCATCCCATCGAAAAAAACATACCAAGCGAGTCACATAAAAATGTTATGACCCAATTTTTTCAAAACAAAAAGTTAGTAGGCACGCAATTTCTATAAGCAAGGCCCTCTGATTGCTACTTAGGGGGATCTAAAATGGAACAATTAGATAAAGTGTAAGGACTCTCGATGAGATGAATTCAATAATTACATCATCTACGGTTTATTTTTCAAATCTTTTGTGAAGCCCTCTCTTTAACACGGATTAACAGCATAACATAGGTGATCGGGTGTGCAGTCAATAATCACGTACTGCACGATTCTCACATGCTTTATATCTCGAGGAGTTTGTTACACGTTTTCCTTTGTATAAGACTATTGTTTTATTGAAATTGTGAGTTACCCTTCTGTCTGTGATCTTTTGTCAGGCATTGTTAGTTTGAACGCTCTGATATTCAAGCGGAACCTTCCGTAATCCAGGGATTAGTACCAAGCCTGACAGACTAACGTGACTTGTATTCATTAGCACTCAAGCAACGATTACATCTTTCGTCAGGTTTTCTAACAGTAGCTTAAAAATCTTAAATCTACTCAACTGAGGTGAAAAGAGGATGTCATTCTTTTTATTTAACCAGGGATGAGAGTTTTGACATTGCTGATCTCAACGATATGGCAGACGCGTGAAATATTTGAACCACCCGTCAGCTCACTCACAAGAATAACCTGGTTCATGGCTGTTCCTTCAGTACCTCGGTATAGAAAACAAAATCGTAAACTTTGAAAATATAACAAGGACCTGAAGTGTTCATTCAAGACAATTTTATTCTATTCAGCAAATCTAGTCTTATTTACAAAAACGTTTGTGCCTAAAAAAACTTTTGTAGTCACGTTAAGAAATTATTTCAAGCAACCACTTTTGTACATTTAAGTCTTGCTATATATAGCAAACTTTTACAGTTCATAACTGCCACCATGGTAGCGACTAACAACATCTCCAAAGGTGCTTGCAATTTTCAGCCAGCTTCTTCGGCTGCCAAGTCGTTGGGGGCTTCAACTTCGTTGTTTAATTTCTCTTGCATCAAGCTTTCTTGCTTGTTCTTTTTTTTCCAACGATCGACACGTTGTCCTTCCGTCGATGCAAAGATGGGACGGCTCCTGGCTCAGAGGTGAAGTGGATTTAGTCTGCACTGTTATGGCGTGGAAATGGTGAGGCTGGAAGACTGTGCCTTTTGCTTCGCACGGATAGAGGCTCACTTGAAGAGGCGAGAGTTTCATCCAAAGAAACAGTTCTGCGGCGGATTGGACGTTTGGTTTGGGTCAACTCTTCAGGGTGTGGTCGTTCTCTATCAGCATTTTTCTGTCCATTCCTGTAAACCTGAACTGCGTTGGTCTTTTGAGGCAAACTTTCTCTCCGTTCGAGTATCTGCTTCTTGAAATCTTCCTGTCTTCTGACAATTTGCTTCAAAACCATCTTCTTCTCTTTATCAAGCTGTTCTAACACAAGCGACAGGTCTTCATCTTGTTTGGTGTTCCTATCGATGGCTTTCCTCATATCAGCTGTAGGCAAGAGGTAACGGGGCAACTGGTCCTTCATGTCTGTACACAGAAATACACTGAGCGCGTTCACGATGTGTGAGGTGTTATTCAATGATACTACAAAGCTTAGTGCTTGCTTTTATATGGTGAAGATGCATTCTTATTAGCGTATTGTTCAGAAACAAAATATAATAATTCAACTCTCCAATAAAAGGTTTTGTCGGCGCTTCAGTACTGCATCATCTTTTTGTAGGAATGCAGGTTTATTAAAAAAAAAAAGAGCTTGTTTATGTCGTTTATGATGGAAATGTTGTCACAGATGACTTTCAGATACCTTTTCCGCAAGCAGTAAATTGGTCAAAGTAAAGCGGTGGAAATTACACTAGAATGATCCTCGACGTATATGTAGTTATCTTATTAATTTTCAATGTTATTATCACTAATCTCATTAGCTTTACCTTTGTATTATAAAGCCCTTACTTACTGGAAGCAAGCTAATTTAGTGCTGTTTTAAATATACTGCACAATAACTTTGCATGATTTTGTTAACTTAAACTCACTACCTACCAAACTGAACCATTAATATTCCTCCCTGTGACCTGTGCGGCATTTTCGATGAAATATTCCTGATTATCGAACTACGTATTCAAACGAACAATAACTGACCTCAAACAAAGTCACTTTGACAAATTGTGATGGATGGCATTATGAATGGCTTAGGAATCTAAATTGGAACTGTCTAGATGCGAGCATAATATTCTAATCATCCCGCCCAGGTATATTAAGGGACTGCCTC